ATCACAACAATAGTATCTTTAATTCATATTAATGCTCTGCTGCTGTGTTTGAGTTATATTTTGATTTTGTTATCTCTTCATACATAAAACTAAGGAGTCTTCCTTAAAAACAACATGCAGGCATGTTTAAACCTTCTGCCCCAGCTAAGCCATGGAAAAAAAGAGGCTGGGACTCTTACCATGGAGCACACCTGGAACTTCTTGGACCTTAGGACTAGTTAGGTCTGGAAACCTAAGCAGCATCTCTAGCACTTTTGCAGGAGTGAATTTTTTACTTGAAAGATAAGTTCATAAATAGATTACAGAAGCTAATAAATGATTTATAGGTGTTTTGATAGTTAATCAATTATCTTAGGCTGTCAGTGGAGTAAAGAGGCTGCTTATAATCGTGGCTTGTAATCATCAAAGCCACTTTATTTTGGTTGTGTTTATTCTCACTTCAGTATCAGTGTGTTGCAGATATGCTAACATTTATTAATGATTTATTAACCTGATAGAAATCATCTGTAAATGCAAGCTTCGTGCAGAGTGAGACCATTTCTCCTCTTGTTGCTGCTTTCCTTCTGCTGAGAGCAGGCTGCTTGAGGTGACTGGCATAGCTGGTGGGGAAGAAGAGCAGTGTTTCTTCTCTGTACTACACTGAGCTTAGAGCTAAGAGGAGGACTTCATTTTTCTTGTCTTGTCAGTAACTTGATTCTTTGTGGTTTTACTGTTTCTGAAAAATAAAGTCAGTCTGGAGCCAAAGGAAAGCCCTCCTCTATTCTCCGGAAAGCACAAGGATGAAGTAACCTTGGTCTTTCCCAAGCTCGTGAGCAAGCGTTTTCTGCTGGTGACTTTCCCTGGGTGGGAGAGCAGAAGCATCTCCTTCAAACAAAGCTCAGTGCTGGAAGTTCCAGCACTGAAGCTCTACACGAGAGTCCATAGTGAAGATCTGTCGCGGTAGTACTGGCCCGAGGAAGGCAAGCCCAGGAGACAAGCCTTTGGTTTTCTGCGTAGAATTTGCCAAAGCAAAACTAATTCTCGTGTTCCAGTAGGAGTCTGCCATTTTTAAACTTAGATTTCATAACGAATCCTGTAAAAATTACGTGAGCCTCCTTTTAACTCCTTCCCTCCTCCTCTGCAATCTAAGGAATAAAATGTTCTTGTGTGTGCAAAACAGCGCTGCTATTCAGGAGCAGAAACATCTAGCATCACATCTCTAATGGGGCAGAAGACTTTTCCAGGTTCTTCCCTTCCTTATCTCACTAAGAAAACAAAACAAATCTTTTTTCTTACGTGCTTTCACTAATGTGCAAGAATTAAGTGAATGGGCAAGGTAACACTTAGAGGGTAGACCCCAGCAGAGCTTTTTTTGGCCAAATTCCAACTAATTCTTGAATCGCTATTCAATTGGAATAAGAACATACACGAGTTGTTACAGATGGGCTGTTTCACTGCTGCTGAGTGCTCCTCGGTCCTTTGGGACACTTGGTGTCTTTCAATGTCAAGGAACAGTGATGGAAATCATACGAAGGAGTTCTACCTCTGCTCTTTGCTACACCAAAGCAAGAGGAAGAACACTTCTGCAGTTTCATGGTTTGCCATTTCTTCATTAGTTATTTCCTCTAACCCTTTTTGCTGTAGGTTGGAGCGATGTAGAATATTTTGGAGACACAGAGAATAACAGCCTGATGTACAAATCTAATCGTGAGACCTGTTCCTCACATGAATATTCCTTCTGCACTTTACTACTTGTGTTGACTTCCGTGGGGCTAGTTTTGTGTTAGATTTACAAAGCAGATCATGAACGGGTAGCAATCTGTCCTCATTACAGCGGGAAAATGAGGTGAAATACTGAGTTTGCAAGGGCGGAATCTGGACCAGTTCGTACTGAGAGCAGAGAAGGTAGTTTGTTAGTCTGAAAAGAAAAACAAGCGTAGGCACACTGTTTGGAGGGAGTTTGGGTTTTGTTTTTAATTCTCAGTATATTTGACCTTCAAAAGAACTCGTAGCAATGCCATTTAGAGGTGTGCTGCCTACAAGCTCAGCTCCTTGTGATGTCTGTGCAGCTGAGAAAAGTGAAAACAATGAAACAGATACTTTTGAGTTCCCAATGAGAAAAAAAGGAAACTGGCAGCCTTTTTTTGCTTTATTGTTAAATATCTCTGTTTAAATGCAAATGATCATCTGACACTGCCAAACAAAGTCACGTACTGGGAAGCAGGCATCGAAGTTTTTTTTTCTTAAAAAAAAGCACGATTTTTTGAAGATACTGGTTTGCTTTTATTTCCAAGAAGAAAGAGGTGACTGAATACATTTTTGGTTGTGTATTGAGGATCAGCTGAGCACGTAGGAGTTTCAAATATAAAGATTTTTATTTCAAATGTAGCTTTTGCAGAAACATGGGTGGACTCTAGTTAGAGATCACTTGGAGAGATACTTGAAGTTTCTTCTGTGTTATCTCACTACATATATTGCATTGGGAAGCCCAGTACATAGAGTGTGTTTTGGAAGGGGATAGAATCCCAGGACAGAACAAGGAAGAAGCAGCCTAACTGCTGCCTTATTCCGCCTCAGGAATGTGTGGTTACTGGTGATCTGTGCAGGGCTTTATGCTGCAAGGCTTCTGCTTTTGTCCCTAAACTCCAGCTTGAGCTAGGCAGATATGAGATTTGACTGCAAGCAAACATAGTGCATAAAATAAGAGTCTTGTGAGAGGAGGTGCTGTTGTCCATGGGTTGTGGTTCCTCCCGAGCTGCCCCCAGGAGGGACGCTCCAGCTGAGGGGAGAATCAAGCAATGCAAGTGGTGGAAAGGTTGTCTGAATGTACATCATGGGCCTGTCTCCTTCCTGCATCTGTTGGTCAGAGGTAGCTAGTTCATAAAAAAACATTTCCTGGGTGTCATTTTTATTCAGCTGAGCAAGCACCAAAATCAGCAAACAAACTGTATCCTGTCAAGCCTCTTTTGTTGTATTTCTTCCTTTAATTTGCTGTTTACCTCACCTTCTTTTTTAAATGTCTATTCTTATAAATCAATATGGATGTATTTGCTTTCTGCACAGGGTTCTATTAGTCTCTTAATAATCATAATAATCGTTATTACTGATTAAAGTTGCATTATTCATGCCAGATGGAATCCCCTCCCTGTCAGCCAAAATGAGTTTGCGTTATGTAGTTATAGTACATTTGAGATCTAAATAAACAGATGGCAGAACGTGACAGCAAATGATGTGCTGGTGATGTCAGCAGCAACTCTTTCGCAAGC